TGCATATTTTTTTTATATATATATATTTATATATATGTATGTGTATATCTCTATATATCTACATATATACACACACATAGCAATTGTGCAAGTAGTAACTTTCCCCTGTGAGTGTATGAGTGTATCCGTTTCATTTGGACAAATCGAAATCAGCTAGCATCTCTTGATGTGAGGCGAGAGAACAGTGTAGTCAATGGGCTATGTGTTTTACATAGTAGTCAGCTATATCTGCTTTAATTAGAATAGTTATAATGATAATTACTAATGTACTTTGCATGTTAATTCTAAAGATTACAGATCACAGAGTTAACCAAAAGAAAATAATTGCTATTTTAGTTATTTATCTTTTTGTTGGCATTGGACAGTGTCTCTCTCGGGCAACAGAGTTTCTAGAGATGCAATAAAGGGAAGATAGGATCAGAGTTTTGCCTTAGACTTGGTGTTCTCAAGCTAATGTGACTTTAATATAATTTATCTTGTGGGGTTGTTTTTTTAATTAAATAAGACATTATTAAATCCATTCAGAAAGAAACTTAGCCTTTAGACAACAGTGATGTAGAATTATTTGTGTACAAAATTCTGCTAGGTTTCAAGTGGCTGAGTGCACTAGTAGTAATTGAGAAGAAAACTGGCAGCTTTCTCAGTATTTCAGACAGGAGGTCTTTGCAAGGGAAAGACCAGTGATGTAAAAGTTGTTAATATAACATCTGTCTATCTTTTTGTAGTGATAAAATATTTAGCTAGGGCCCTACAACCTGATTGTAAGTCCATGAATGAGGTTTGTATTATAGTGAGCCCTAACTTAAATGACTACGTAAGAGACCAGGACGAATTATTTGACTACAGACCACAGCCATTTCAAATAAAGGCTAAACCAAATTATGCTGGGTGCCTTAGAGACACGTTAAAGTGGTCAGCGAAGGAAGTGAGTCATCTGTGGGAGGCATCTAAGCTGTAGGTTTCCTTGTATGTCACAAAAGACAGACTTTCGATAATATATAAGCACTCAACGATCCCATGACAAATATTGCTGCTTTACTGTCCGATGCAGGCCAGTAAAAGCAATATATGGGGAGGTTTAGATGAAAAATTTCATCTAAATATGATTAACTGAATCTTAAGCAATTCCAGCAATGGAGTTGCTCTTTGTTTTACACCAGTGTAAATGTGATGAGAACAGGGCTCAGAAAGTGTATTAGCCAGTGTTCCACTCCTACCTAATTTTCCTTGACACCCAGTAGGAAATTCAGCTCGTTTCCCTTTGTTTTCATCTTCAGACCTACAGTTACTGAACAAAATGTACATTAATAATGCACATAGGCATATTGTAAAAGCACACACGAGGTGTATAGGCAAGGGTTCAATTAGCAAGTGCACCCCAAATGAGATCTTTGTCTTGCTAATAAACTCCTCTCACTGATTAACTGCTATACCCAATTTGTGTTTTAACAGCAGATACTCTTTTCAAGTGAAATGATTTTTGCACAAGAAGTTTTATGCATGTTGCAAAATGAAAATCAACATGTTCACTGCCTTTCTGACTCTAGACAGCATTGTATGTCTACAAACATAGACTGAAATAAACATTGTAGTGAACAAAATAGCTAGGTAGAAATAAGTAAGTGCTATGTTATAAAAACAGCAAGCTTGGCTGAACAAATGTTAAACAGAATTAACTATAAAAAAATGACAACCAATTTTGTGATTTCTGTAGTTTTTCATGATATTGTGGAAAAACTAATAAATTATTGTTGCTCCTTTGTTTCAGGAAATGGGCATCATTTTTTTGAGCCAGAGCTGACAATCTTGTTCAGGTAGGAAAACTCAGATTCTAATATGGTTCCTCACTTGTATAATGCTACAGAAAGTGCCACAATCTTGTGTGAAATGGGGTTTGTTCTCAGGTACAGAGAGGGAGAAACATTAACATGGCAGCTTCATCTTCGCTTTGCATGCTTAGGTAGCCAGTGATTAGCTCTGTCTGAAGCCTAGAGACACACATAGAGGCTGGGAGGCTTTAATCTAGGTGCAGAAATAAAGTGATAATGGTGAACGAAGGCTTTGATGCATCTTGGTTCAGAGCTTCAGCCATGATACTGACCTCTCTACATGTCAAAAGGTTGCAGTATTATCCAAGAAGAAAGATTGCTTGTCCTCGGGCACAAAGTGATAGAAAGAGTCTTCCCATTGTTAGTGTTGTTCCAGGCAGAAGAGATTTTTCTTTCTTCCTCATTTTGGATGCCCTTGGAATGATCCACCAGATGCTATGTGAGCCCCGGTTTAAATGAGAAAAGGGTGGCTTTATCTGGTACTTGATAGAAATGACACTAATGTCAATGAGTGTCTTTCCAGAGGTGGGTTTTGCTGGATAGAGAGAGAGGAAGAAAGCAAGTAGAAAAAGAGTATTTGTGGGGGAGGATATTATAATTTCTTTTATTCAAGATAGAGGTTTTGTAGATCAGTAGATCAAAGCATAGGGTGCAGTTTATCTTTGGGTGCATTTGGATGCATTCATTAAATATACATGGTGAAAATCCAGTGGTGTTATGTATTTGTTGATTTTTTTTTTTCCTTTTGAAAAATTTGCCTGAAAACTATATTTTTTTAAAAGACATGATTGTTGACGATAAAGCAGCAGCATATGATTATTACAAGGCATGGCCAGAGAAAGAGAACTAGAAGCATGCCCATGTTAATGTTTGAGATCAGGCACTTTCCTGC